CAGTCTCATCTTTAAAATGCAGCTTTTAATGGTATCTTCCTCACTGGGTTGTTTGTGAGACTTCAATTAATTCACACAGAGTGCTGAGAACAATGCCTGGCATATAAATGTTTAACAAATGTTCTCTACTCTTATTATCCACCTCTGTGCCACTTTTCTCTGCCAGAATTACATTTCCACCTTCTCTCTGCCTCCTTAAACTCAGTCCAGCTCAATCTCCTCCTCCTCCATGAAATCTTTGGGCAGTATCCAGTCTCCTGACCTCTGTTACATGTGGCAATGAGACCAGAACCATTTTGAGAGCAAAGGACTATGACATGAACAGCACTAACTAAATGAATCACAGAATAACATCTGTACTAATCTCCTTAGTGCTATCAAACTTTCTGACTGTGAGCCACAGTAAGAAATATATTTTACAGCATGGACCAGTCTGTGCATTTGGTATCACTGTGTACATTTGATACACAATGCATTTGTATATAAACATTGTATAGAACATGAAAAAATAAAATTAGCTGGGTGTGTTAGCACACACATTTGGTACCAGCTACTTGGGAAGCCGAGGTGGAAGGATTGCTTGAGTCCAGGAGGTCGAGGCTACAGTGAGCCGTGATCATGCCACTGCATTGCGGCCTGGGCAACAGAGTGAGACTGTGTCTGAAAAAAAAAAAAAAAAAAAAGGAAGAAAGAAAGAGAAAGAAAGGGAAAAAAGAAAAAGAAAAAATACACTGTTCCAAGAATAACCCTGAGTCTTTCCTCCAGAGGCCCGAAACCCCGAAAAGATTACAGGTGAATGGGGTGTTTGTGGGACAGAGACAGAATCAAGGGAGGCTGCAGTGGATGGTGTGTGGAAGGCCTTCCGAGGCAGAAGACCAGAGAGCAGGCTGAGCTCAGATATCAAAGGGCGTCAACTGCCACACAAAAGAGTTTGGATATTTTCTATAGACACTGGAATTTTCTAAGCAGAGGAAGACAATACTTGGCTATGTGTTTTGGAAAGCTCTCTGGGACAGCTGTGAGGAGAAAGGACTGGAAAAGCTAACTCACAGAGACGGAAAACCATGAGGAAGCTCTGTTGAGCATCCAGGTGAGAGAGAACCGATAAGGCCATAAATCAAGAAACACCTGGAATAGTGGAGAACATGGAGGAGACAAAAGTCAGAAATGGTGAAGACTGAAATCAGCAGCTGAAGATTTGAGCTTGAGTAGCTGGGTCAATATGATGCTGGTTTCCAAGGTAGGTACAGAGGAAGTTTGTCCAGGGACAAAACAGTTCAGTTTTGGAATAAGTTTGAGATACCCATTGGGAAAATTTCACTGGGAAACATAACTCTCATTCTTTCACTTATTCAATAAACATTTATGGGACTGATGTAAAGTAACGTTTTATTTTGCCAAAGTAGAAACATTAAATAAATAAAGTAATTTCTATTATTGCCATCATTTCAAATAACATTTGCTACCAAAAATTAGGAAGAGCATACTCTCAGAATGAAGGACAGCCCTTTATAATTTTTGTTTTTTGAGACAGAGTCTCACTCTGTCGCCTAGGCTGGAGTGCAGTGGTGCAATCACGGCTCACTGCAACCTCTGCCTCCCAGGTTCAAGCGATTCTCCTGCCTCAGCCTCCAAAGTAGCTGGGATTACAGGTATGTACCGCCACGCTTGGCTAATGCTTGCATTTTTAGTAAAGATGGGTTTTTGCCATGTTGGCCAGGCTGATCTTCAACTCCTGACCTCAAATCACGTTTCCACCTCAGCTTCCCAAAGTGCTGGGATTACAGGTGTGAGCCACGGTGCCCGGCCTAGTTCTTAATAACTGAATAAATTTATTTAGTGAAAAACTTTCCTAGTAAAGTTTTTCTCATTTTGCCATGAAAACATTGCTGTATAACATCAGCCTGGTCTGTGGACTGTAGCTGGAGAGCCACTAATTCGAGAAATGGGCAGAGGAAGACAGGCCAGCAAAAGAGACCATGAGGCATGATTCCAGAGGCAGGAGGAAAACCAGGAAAGTGTGATCATGGAGGCCAAAAGAGGGGAGAGTTTCAGAAATGAGGACTTGGCCAATAGTGTCTTTTGCCACCCAGAATTCAAAGAGGTAATCAAATTTGGCAATTTGGAGGTCATGGGTGACCTTTGGCAGAGCCCCTTCACTGAGATAATGGGACTGGGGCCAATTTGCAGTTGGTTGAGGTGTGAATGGGAAGGCGGGAAAAGTGGAAGTCTAGTATGTAGACTACTTTCAACAAATTTCAGAGTGAGAGACAGAAAAAAGAGAGAGGAAAGGAGGGAGGGAGAAAAACAGATTGAGAGGGAGAGAGCAAGTTAGGGGAGCAAGAGAACACACAGTGGAGGGGGAGTTCTTGCTTTTTTGCGATAACAGAGACAAGCATTTTACAATCAGAAGAGAAAGAGCTGTTATAGGGAAGCTGAACTTTCTTGAAGACAAGAAGCATAACAAATGGTTGGAGGAAGGGCCCAGGAAGGAGGTGGATGAGGCCAAGGCCCAGGCGGAGGGATTAGCCTTTAACTAGAGGGGCACCTTGTCCCCTGAGAAGAGAGGGCTGGAGGGGAAGGAAGTTGGAAAGGCAGGCCAAGTTTGAGGGGGTAGTGGGGCAGAGAGCACTGAGGTAATTCACGCTTGAAGGCCTCTGTTTTCTCAGGGAAGTAGAAGGAGAGGTTATTCCGTGCAGAGAGAGGGGAGGAGCAGGAACATGGTAAGGAGCTGAAGGAAGTTTGGAATGTGGCCAAGCTGAATGTGGAGGCTGGAGCTGGGGCCTTGACAAGGGAACATGCTCAAGGATGACTGAGGGGCGCCAGCGGAGCAGCTGAAATTCATTGAGTCTGACGTCTCCCTGCGGGTCTTGTCTCCCTCACTAAGCTTGAGGCAGAGTCCACGGCACTTTCCTTTCCCGTCTGTCCCCTCGCTAGGCAATGCTAGCCCAGTTTGGCCCAGAGGAGTCACCCAGTACTCTCAGAAAGGTCTAGAAAAGCAATCACTGGCAAAACCCAGAAGCACTATAGGGCTGTTACGGGGAACAGAGGTAAGATCCTAACTTCTGATAGGAAGTTCTCCATCTTGGTTGATCCAGACCTTTTCTGCTACCCTGCTGACCGGTTTACTCCTGTTTTGTGTTAAGTGAAAAGGAGAACAGCCAGCTTTTGCCCGGCAACACTTGCAGGCCTTAAATCTTACAGGCCAGGAAAAAGCCAATAAGAGGAGCCAGCGGCTTCATGTCCCACAAGCTAAATGAGGCCGAGGCAATTACTAGGAGGCAGCAAGACAGAACCATTGCATAGGAAGGACAAAGCTGTGGAAACAGGACTGAAGGCTCCCTGGGCTCCAGGAGAGCATGTTGGGAGCTGCGTGTAAGCGGAACCCTGAGGACTGCTGCTCAGGGGTGTGAAGGGACTGGACAGCTCCTAATGTGAAGGGAGTGACTGAAGAAACACAAGTTGAAGGTGGGAGGTGGCATGATGGGTGGCGTGGTTGAGTCTGGTCAGGCGTGAGCCCAGAGCTCAGGAGGAATATATCTGCCTCTTAACCCTCTCCCTCCTTCCTTCTGCCTATTCTCAGAGGCCACTTAGAGGTGGAAAAGATCCTAGAGTGTGACCACAGGTGTTGTGCTTCTTTCTCCTTTGTACTCCATCTCCTTCCAGCCCAGTCTTTCAGCCTGGCGCCTTCTCTCAGCTGCACTCCTCCTTTTGCCAATGATGCAGTCAGTATAAGCACACGCTCAGCGCATGCAGGTAAACTTAGCAAGAATTCTCAGAGACTGATAGGTGCTCCAGCTCCCCAACAACCCTCTCTTTCCCCACAAGATTTCCCTCTTCAGGACCCAGGATCCAGCTTGCACTTAGAAAATTCAGGGACAGAGAGCTCACTCTAGTCCAAGGCAGTACATTCCACTGAACTCATTTCACCTCATATAATAAACCTCTGTTTATTGAGGGCTGGGACTGTGCCAGGCCCTTGGGTTAGGTGGTGACTGAGCCGTTAGAAAGTTTTCCTTTGAGCCAAAATGTGTCTCTCTGTAGCTTCCAGCTATGGGCCTCAGCCCTGCCCTTTGAAGTCACCCAGAACAAGTGTAATCTCATTGCAGTCCAATCCTCAGATATTTGAAAATATCTATCATTTCCCACAGCTTTCTGTCCTCTATGGATAAACATTTCTTTCTTGGTTTATTTTTATTTTTAACACCTTTCCTTTTTATTACTCAAATATTATCAGTTCATTGTGGAACTTTTTAGAAAATTCATAAAAACATAAAGTAAAAATCCATCCTACTGTTACTCTGAGAAATGACAACCCTAGCACTGTTTCTAATCACCAGTCTTATTTTTTCTCTGCACGCTGTTCATACTACGCTTCTTTCTTATCAAATGGGATCATCTTGTAAGTATGATTTTAGAGGCTTATTTTGTTTTCACTCACTATATTGAAAAATATGGTAACTTTTCCCTCATTCTTCTACCATGCCAATTTTAATATGAAATTCTGTAACTGCCCAATGATTTATCTAAGCAACTTTAAAAAGTGAGACATTTAGGTTGTTTTCAATTTTCCTTTGCTGAAAAGAACACAGTGGGACTAGAATTGGAAGTGGGGTGAAGATGGGGGCTAAAGATGTTTAGCTTATTGAACATCCAAGAAGCTAAATCTGTGCTGGGGCTGGACACTGAGGTCAGAAGGAATATATTTGAGATCTCTGAAGCATAAGGTCCCTGCCAGTAGGTGAACAGAGAAACAAGGAGCCCTTAAATTAGTCATGTTATTTTACCATCTGATTTTTTTTCATTTTCTGTGTTGTAAAAATTATACTTCCCAGAACATGATTGTGAGCACCTGCTTGATATTCAGCTGCAAGGATTTGGCCTAATTAATGTTACTGCTTTCCTATTATTGGATGTGGAGGTTGTTTCTAATTTTTGACCATTACAAACCAGACTGTGATAAACATCCAAGAAGCTAAATCTGTGCTGGGGCTGGACACTGAGGTCAGAAGGAATATTTTTGAGACCTCTGAAGCATAAGGTCCCTGCCAGTAGTTGTAACTAGAAGCTTTCTGGCAAAGGTCCAGAAGGCTGGCTAAGGCCAAGGACTCTGCTCTGGGCTTGCCCAGGTTCAGTACCCATTCAAGCGGCCCCCATCAAAGAGTGTTCAGGCTGGCAGGGTCCTATGTGACCAATGGGTCAGCACCCTTATCTCTCACGTGAGGGAACTGAGGCCTGGGGCTGGGGCTTGTCCTTCAGCACCTCTGCAATCAGGCAGAACTTTGCCTCTACCTAGCACCCTGGCTCTTGAAGTGGAAGCTGAGCTCTGAGGTTTGGAATCTGACCCAGAGGTCCTGTGAAATCCTGTCTGCTCTCTTTCACTAGACCACTTACTGTTGAGGCTGGAGGGGACACTTTGGCAAATGAACTGCTCGGTAAGGGTCTGGCTGAGGGGCACTGAAGGAACACTTGAGGTTGACCCTTCAGGCAGCTGGGCTTCCTCTACCCAGAACACCTTTTTTGTCCCTAACCCAGATGATGTGCTTAATGGCAGTCACCCTATATTCAGATCCACCTGGCAAGTCTATTTGAGGTTAAGCTGAAATAACAAGTGAGTCCCTCATTCCCCTTAAAGGGGTCAGCTGTCTCTTCTTGCCAGGAACTGGTTTTGTTAAAGGCCTGTCTATTCACCCCTCTGTCCCTGACAGCTCTGTGGTTTCAGAGTGCTAATGAGCTCCTCTCCTTCCTGTCTCAAGCCTTGCTACTGCCTGGGGAATTTACACGAATGGTGTGCGATTTGCCTCTTCTGTGTTTTCCTTTCTGACTTGGAGGCAAAGCAAATCCCTCACCTCCCACCGACACCATGTTTGTTCAACTGGGAGAGATTTCACACCCAGGAACCCAACTCTCCCTCCCTGAGCCCCTTCCCTAAATCCTCGTCCTACTCTCAAGTCCTCCCACCCCTGTTCTCCCGGAATAATTTATAAGACTGGGCAGGGCTTATAAAAGGGTCTTCCAGGAAAGGCCAAAAGAGTGCAGAAGGTTCTGGGAAATAGAAGACCCCACAGCCCGACTGGCTTTGGTGGCCTAAGAATGGACTCTCCTGCCTGTGCTGCTTCCGCCACCCCTGTTCCAGCCCTGACCCTGGCCCTCGCTCTGGCCCCAGCACAAGCCCCACTGGCACTCCCTGGCCTATTAAGCCCATCTCCTCTTCTCTCCTCTGGACAAGAAGTAGACGGGAGTGAAAGGTAAGTGGAGCTTGGCCTTTGGCAACCTGAACTTAGGTTTGAGGGCTTCCTGAGGGAGGAAGAAAAATGAGATGTCCAGGGCACTCCGTTCTCTATGAGGGGGTAAAGCAGTGGCCTCATAGCTCTCCCTTCACATCTCTAGCTGGAATATCTCATCTGGCTTTTCGCCTCACTAATCCTGCTGGGTGGGAAGAGGGGACTTGGGGACAGTGGGTATTGCCAAAGCTGAAGGCCAAGCAGCCAGGTCCCCATAGGCCAGGTGGCTGAGTCCCCTGATGGGGACGAGGAGACTGCCATGAAACCTGGGCTTAACAAAATCCAGACTGCGGGGGTGGGGAATGTGGGGAAAGAGGACCAAAGTCTAAAGAGTCCCTTGACTGGGAGATTGCCTTTTTCCTGACCACGCCATCAGATTTTCCATTTGCTTTTTTCCTACCTCTGTAAGTTCAGTGGGGTCGCATTGGGCCCAGGAATATTTCTGGTCCTCTTCCTCAGCCCAGGAAGATGGTAAGACTCTGAGCTCTACTTCTTGGAGCAGGAAGTAGGAGGCAAGATATTTTCCACCTAACCCCCATTCATTTCTCCAAACATTCGGCCTTCAACAAACATTTACTGAAACAGCTACTGTGTACCAGACATTGTGCTAGGTATTGAGGAATCAGATACGATTGAACGCGTCTTTGAGCTTAAGAAGCCCAAAGACAAGTAAATAGACAATTACAAAACAGCATGATAAGAGAAATAATAACATTACTGAAGCCGAGAGGAGGGGCATCTGTCCTGGCCTGGGCTCAGGAGCCTTAGGAAAGGCTTCCTGGAGCAGATGGCACCTGAGCCAAGCTTTTGGGAGGCCTCTTGTTATTTCAGGGAGCCCACATTTCAGTCTCTTCCTCTACCGATTGATCTCTCCTCTTGTCCCAGAGGAGCTTGTCTCTGGAGGCCCTGGCTGTCCTCCACAAATGACTCCCGAAGGCACATGAGGAAGCTGGTGGATTTGGTGAGTTTGAGCCCTTGTGACGCATGTTCACATGCAGCCATATGCATTCACACTGACCATGTCACTTCCCAGAGATGCCCCTGACCTCAGTCCTGGGCTGTAGATCTGAGATAGCATCCTCACAGTTTTGCCAACATTTGATTCCAACAGAGAGCAGATCCAAGTTTTCTGTGGCAATTGGAAAGATGAGGAGGCCATGGTTCAGCATGGGCCAGGGATCTGTGAGGCAGTGCTGGTGCTCGAGGCCTGGTCTCCTGGCACCTCGCTCCAGTGCTCTCCCACCCACAACCATCTCCCTGAATCTTTGCTGCTCCAGTAGAACTCTGTCCCCTGGAGAGCCTCCAAATAGGTGTTGGAACAGAGGCAAGGAAGCAAACAACCCTCAGAATTCTGTTTACCTGTTTTTCAAACAGAACCAAGAGAGACCCATTGTTGAGGGGTGGATGTAGGGGGTTGTTGGGTCCCAGAGATGTCTAAGGTCTTTTCTAGATCATCTTACCTGCAGCTTTCTGACCTCTGGTACAGAGGAGGAAGTTATCTAGCCACGTACTTTGAACCACATGCTAGCTCTTGCTTTGGACAGGCTGCTAGTGGGACAACAGCTGCTGAGGTCACCAAGGCTGAATCCAAGTTCCATCACCCTGTCAGGTAAGCTTCTGGCATCAAGCTCCAAACCTGACATAGATCCATTAGCTCTTTGAGTCTTCACAAAAGTCTTGTGAAGCAGGAGAAGGGAGGGACTGCTGGTTTATGATAGCTGTTTCATAGAAGAGAAAACTGGAGCCCAGAGAGTTTAAGGGACTTGGCCAAGGCTGTCTTTCCTGGAGGCAATGTCAATGACACCCAAGAATGATCCCCCATGGATGGGTCAGTGAAATAATCCTCAGTGGAAGTAGATGGGGACCACAGGGCTGGAAAATTCTTGGCTAGAAGCCTCCTGGGGTAGGTAGGGGGTGTGGTCAGAGCCACAATTGACAGATACTGTGGCTGGGTCCCCCACCCACCACGACAGGCCCACAAGGGGTTACCTTCCTGTGTGGGGCCATTTTGTAACAATGCAGAAGGTTCTGTTACAAAGCTCTCTTTCTTCCTTTCCCTCTGACCTCATTGTTGAAGCCAAGAGAAGGGGTTTAGGGGCCAGCTTCTTTCTTGGCCCTACTGGCCCTTCTGCACATATGAGACCTAAGTTAGGGGCCATGTTTCTTCTCTGTCCACAGGCTCTTCTGGCCTAAATCTCACTCCTTCGACTATCTGTACAGTGCTGGGGAGACTTTATTGCAGAACTTTCCTGTCCAGGCAACCATCAACCTGTATGAGGACTCAGACAGCAAAGAAGAAGAAGAGGATGAAGAAGAGGAGGATGAAGAAGAGGAGGAGAAGTAGGAGGCTGATGAAAAGGAGCCAGAAGGGTGTTTGAGGGTACCAGGGTCCATATCTTACAGCGCCATATAGCTCATTCATCTTCCCCACCCCTGGCCTATCCAAATGGAGGCAGCCAGAGTCTGATTGGGATTGTTTGTTAGGCAAGTTTCCACAGATTTCAATTAGCCAGGAGTATTAGTCCAGCAGATAGAGATTTCTGGACTGAAAATTGGGTCCTCTAGCTGCCCAGCTCACCCTGGCTTACCTGACTGCCTTGTGAGCCCAGACCTCTGGCATCTCATTGTCTGGGCTGCTGTTGTGTTGACAATGGGAGCGTTCTAGGAGCTCTAGAAAAAGGAAGGCTTGCTGAAGCCCCAGGAAGCAGAGCAGGACAGGGCACGCCCTTGCGGAGGGAAGTCGTTACTCCTCAGGCCCTTTGACTCCGCAGCCTTCCCAGGTGGCCGTGTAGTCCCGTCTCTCTGTGGAAAGCCTGACTTCTGGCTTCACCCCCAGGAATACCAACAGCAGATCCATGCAAGGTTGGGGTGCCTTTTTGATGAGTCTTACAGGAAGGGAAGGGGGCGTGTAGAGAATCGGCTTGCTCTGAAGATGCCCCCCATTTTGCCTGCTATCCATTGAAGTCTGTGTGTTGGCATGAGATGAATCAGGAGAAAAATAAACTTGATGATGTTTTTCTTTTTCTTGGAACTGTGCTGATTTCTTAACTGAACTCTGCCCATGTTGTGAAGCCATGGGCAGAGGGTCAGAGACCAGCTTAAGGCCAATTCATTGCTGTCCCTACCTGAGGTCAGTTGATAAGTTTTTCTTCATGGGGATGTAGGGCTGGGGACCCAGCATGGGGCCAGGCCTACTCCATCAATTTGTGAAATCTGACTTGATTAAACTTCAAGGACATCTTGGAAAGGGAACAAAAAGGCTCCCAAAAGGCAGCTTCAAAGTTGGGAGTAGGGATGGAGGTTACAGGGCAAAAGTGACAGGTACAGCCTCATTTGAGTCTCAGAGTTGGCTGCGTGCATGTGGGGAAGAAGGCTACTAGGTCCTAGCAATTTTTTCCCCTCAATTCCCTTTGTATTTACCACAGCGCAGACCCTCATGCTTACGCCTGCTTCAATTATTCTTTGACTATTGTTTTTTGCCCCCAGTTGTCCCTTTGCAATTCATCTTCCACACTGACCACCAGATGAGACCACAGCATACCTTTGCCAACACTGTTAAACTTATCTTTTTCTTTTTGTCACAGATCCCCTTGAGAACCTGTGGCATCTGTACTCAGAAAAATATATATGTTCACAACACACACACACACACACACACACACACACACACGCAGTGGTATATCTTCACAAATCAAGTACTTAACTTGACATTCTAGGCCTTTCCGTTGTCTGGGTTTTGCCTGTCTCTTGAGACTCATCTCTCAACTCTTGAAGTTTACACTGCCTCTCCTTGAATGTGGCATGGTTTCTAACACTCTGTGCCCTTAACCCTGTCTGGAATGCCTTTCCACTTTACCTTCTTTCCTGTGCAGTAACCTGGGGCTGTGTTTGCTATTCCCATATGATTTCATTGTACGGAACACTGCCTGGCACAAAGGAGGTGCTCAGAAAATGTTGAAAGAGAAAAGATTCTCAAGTCTTCTTAAAGTAGCTCTTGGTGGAACCACCATCGTTCCCCAACTTGCTAGCTTCTGGGTTTAGCTACAAAAGGGAGAGGGTAATGTCATCTGATTCAGGAGCAAAACGATGACCATCCTTCTTTTCCTCCTCCCTCAACATGAGACCGGCTGCTTCTGTTCTGAGCCCTAGCTGAGACTTCCCAACATTGGATGCAACCTTGAGTAGACCACCAAACTCACACACTGGTGCCATCTATTGGTCAAAATTTAACCTTGTTCCTTAATTAAGGCTTCTAGGCAGTTGACCTTTGACTACATTAATTCTTTTAGTCTATTCTGTTTCTGTTTGTAAGTAAAGTGGAGTCTACCATGTGCTAGCAGTATGACCTTGGGCCGATTACTTATCCGCTCTGAGTCTCAGTCTCCTCATTTGTAAAATGAGGCTAATAATATTTCCTCTTGGAATTATTGTAAGCAGCAAATGAGATAATATATGTAAACTACTTAGCATGGCCCCTGGCACATAGTACAAGCCCTTAACAAATGGTAGTTGTCATAGTGGTAGTAGTCTTAGTTTCTGCTATTACTGATTTTATATAGGAAATAAGCTTATAGACCAGAGTCAGCTAATGATGATTTACTTAACTAATAACTGATTTTTCAGTTATCACCACTTGTTCGTCTTGGCACCATTTGATGGTTTACCAGTAAAAGCATCTTTGTAGTGTTTATTCCAAAATGAATTTTTAAAAACCGTAAACAATAATAATAATAATAAACTGAAGACAGAGGGCAAGTGTGATTCCCTGGACCGCTGTCTTCATTCAAGTGGTAGCCCACAGGTTTCAGATCCCTTTTTCCAAGGCCAGAGGTTTACAAACGTATTTTTTGTGCTTTCGTAGCAAAACCTTTCTTTTGAATTGAATGCAGAAGCCCAATATATAAATCAAATTAAAATGGAGCTACACTGGTGGAAGCCATAATGGGGGGCCCAGAATTCCTACCCTGGTGTCTTCTTTCTGGTAAAGCAACTGTCTCCACCCCCTTTCTGTGAGGTACTTTCAGGGATCCCTAGGTTGTGGGAAGCATAATTTGGAAACCACTGTTCCAAGGGTTAAACCAGGATTGATTTGAAGTAGAAGGGAGATTAATTAGTACTTTAAAATGCCCAGTGTTCTGTCTAAAATCCTCGTTTTAGGTCCTAAGCACCCAGCATTTCATAGCTCAAAAATTGCTCGAATCCTTATACCGTAGGTTATAGGGATTTAAAATCCTTGGAATCCCAATATCCTTGGTTTTAAGGTATTATATAGCATAGAATTACAAATCCCTAAATCCTCGGGGATTTAAAGACCCTAAAACCCTTGGAGCAGCAATTCTTAACTCAGAATGGGCTCTTCTCATTTCCCAACACCCCCCCACCCTCGCACACGTGCTGTTGTTTACTGGGCAGACATTTTGTCTCACTGTCCTCTGAGTCCCCTGTCCTGAAATGGCTTCCAATCCTCCTCCCCATACGTGGTTGCTAAGTGATTGGAATTCACTGTTCTGACTAATGAGAGCTCACTATGAGTTACTTTGTTATGGGTGTTTCCAATCCTTGTAACAACTTCAACTCCAGTGCACAAACTCAGGAGAAAAATCTCTGTGCAAAACTCTAGAGTCCTTCCTCCAGCTCCACCCAGCTGTCCCATCCTAGTGTGCCAGCACTTCCCCATCCTAACACTGATTTCCTCTTCTTTCTCCCAACTTGTAGCAACAGTGAGAGGACACATCTGTTGAGGTGAGGGTGCATTTGAGCTCGGTCTTGAAGGATGGGCATGAGTAATAATGGAGGGAGAAAACTTTCCAGAAAGAGGCAGCACTATGAAGTCCTTCATTAAACAATATTTATTGAGCACTTACTATGTGCCAGCCCTTAATGTTGTGATGATTAAGAGCATGGGCTTTGAAAGCAGATGTACCTGGGTTCAAATGCCTTATCTGCTGCATGCTGGCTCAATTCATGGGCCCACTTCCCTCATGCGTCAAGGTCAGCTCTCTGCTCTTAACCCTTTCACTACAACCTCTGTAGTTCTTTATTGTATCACACCTCTGCCCCACACAGCACATGCTCATTAAAATAGTTGCCTATTCTCCTTTGTCTCTGGGCACAGAAAGCCCTCTGTGTACCCAGTGGGTGTCACAAACCCCCACCTCTCACCCCCTCTTCGAAACTGTGCCTGCGTGACCCACCTAGTGGGCAGATAAGTTGTCTTCTTTCCTCCCCATTCCCCTGTTGTAAAATGGTGGCCAATCTCCCCAAACAAAGTTGTTAGGGGACCTGAATCCACTGTTTTGGCCTGTCGGGAACATGGTGTTGATTCCTGTGTTTTTGGCTTATCCCCCAGCTGGCAAGCCTCATGACAACCTCCATGGAAACACAGAAACCCAGATACGGAAAGTGACAAAGAATGAGTGCTCTGACTGTGGGCGCCACAGCACTTGCTACTGACGTTATACTCATCACCTCGTGTGGTACTAAAATCACAACAGTCCTAGAGAGAGGTCTGATTATTATCCCCACTTATGAATGAGAAAACTAAGAGTTAGCTGGGTTTCTGTGCCTGGGTTTGTGCGCCTGCGTGGAAGATGCTACAAGCCTTGTCAGCGGTGATTTAAGTCAAAAATACAGGAACCAACACCAGGCCATGACAGGTAAAACAGTGAAGTCAGGTCACCAGTTTACAACAGGAGGCTGGAGAGGAGAGGAGCTGAACCGTCTGCCCACTAAGAGCCATACAGGCACAGTGCAGGGTGGGTGGGTAGGAGGTGGTGACAGCCACGGGGGGCGAGGGGATAGGGGCTTTCCCCGTCCAGAGGAGACTAGACAACAGGATACCTAGGAGGATAAGAGTTAGAACAGCTGATAATTCTGAAATTCTTATTACAAATCTTACATCGATTAACTCCTTTAATATAACAACTTTGAAGGATAGGTGCAGTTGGGCAAACTGAGGCTTAGAGTGGTTTTTAAAAACTTACCCCAAATCACATGGTTGGTAAACTGTGGCACCTTCTAAGTGTCAGGCTCTTTACACATTTTACCTCATTTAATCCTTCTGGCAACCCTAAAGCTCAAGCACTATTATTTTTCTTGTTTTATGGATGAGGAAACTGAGGTTCGGAGAGGTTAAGGAATCTTAAGCTCACACAATTAATAAATGACCAACCCAAGATTTGAGACATGACAGCAATTGCTCCAGGTTACATTAATGGTAAGTGGCAGAACCAGGGTTCAGCGCCACTTGACTCCAGAGCCCTGTGTTTTCAGGAGGTGGAATCAACAGGGTTTGCTGAAGGATTAAATCTGTGGGAGGGCAAGGGAGAAAAGGTTTAAGTTCTGGCTGCAGGGAAGTGAGTCAGAGGATATGAAGAACTCTGGGCCAGGGGCCAGGAAAAACTGAGGGCCTCTGAAAGGTGTCACTGAGGGAGGAATGTTTGGGGACCTCCTGCCTGGCAGTGGCAGGCTCTCACAGCACCTGGGCTGTGGGCACAGGGCTACCAGAGGTGAAGGGGAATGAGGGAATTCTGTTCCTGCCCCTCAGTGCTGCACTGCCTCAGAGTGGAATGGGCCCTGGCTGGGCAAGCCTCACTCTGGCTGAAAAGCAGGAGGAACTACCAATTGCTGAGCTCTCCTGTGCTTTCCCAGGCACTGTGCTTGGCACCACGCACACTTTATCCTGAACTGGGTGGTGGTGGGGGGGGCATCCTCATGTTTACAGATAAACTGGGACTTGGCTGGGCGCAGTGCCTCAAGCCTGTAATCCCAACACTTTGGGAGGCTGAGGTAGGCAGATCACAGGGTCAGGAGTTCGAGACCAGCCTACCAACATGGTGAAACCCCGCTCTACTAAAATTACAAAAATTAGCTGGGCGTGGTGGCATGCACGTGTAATCCCAGCTACTCAGGAGGCTGAGGCAGGAGAGTTACTTGAGCCCAGGAGGCAAAGGTTGCAATGAGCTGAGATCGTGCCACTACACTTCAGCCTGGGCAACAGAGCAACACTCCATCTGGGGGTGGGGGTGGGGG